CAGAAAATCAGACGTGATGCGATGGCTCAAAGTGGTAGAGCACTAGCCTTGAGCTATAAGAGCTCAAGGACAGTGTGCAGGCTCTAAGTTCAAGACTCCCTTCCCCACTGTCAAAATAAAATAAAGGATAATTTGAGGTTATAAATATTGAAATGAATAATTGTGAACCTAGACTATTAGGCCTTAATGAGTTGCTACTATGTTAAACAAACAGAAAGAAGAAAATTTAAGTGTTTGGTAATAAATGTTGGTATAGATCAGGAAAAAGCATAGAGATTGCATAGAGACTCAGCAGATGCTGGTGACCTAATGCAAGATCCATCCCTGGTGGAAGCACTTTTTAGCTTTTTTATCACAGAGAAAACGTTCTGGGCCCTTCTGCTCAGACTTTCTCTTTTCTTTCTTTCTTTTTTTTTTTTTTTGGTCAGTTGTGGGGCTTGAACTCTGGGCTTTGATCACTGTCCCCTCGCTCTTCAGTTTAGGGCGAGTGGTCTACCGCTTGAGCCACAGCACCACTTCTGGTTTTCTAGTGCTTTATTGGAGGTAAGAGTCTCATGGACTTTACTGCCCGGGCTGGCTTTGAATCGTGATCCTCAGATCTCAGCCTCCTGAGTAGCTAGGATTACAGGGGTGAGCCACCAGCGCCCGGATTGATTATGCTATATATCAGAATAGATTATTGTATTATAAAAAGAGCAAAAAGAGACCTGAGGATCTATGAACCAGACTAGAAAACCTGGAAATAAAACCATATACTTATAGTTATCTGATATTTGAGAAGGAACCCAAAATATACAATGGAAAAAGATAGCCTCTTCAATTAATTGGTGTTGGGAAAACAGGGCATCCATATGAAGAAAACTAAAAGTGGTTCTCTGTTTGTCATCATGCACATACCGACTCAAAGTGGTTCAAAGACCTCAAAATCAGACCGGAAACGTTGAAATTACTGCCAGAAATAATAGGAGAAACTCTAGGACTTACAGGAAGCAAGTTTTTGAAGAGTCACAGGGGCACAGCAGATAGGATAGAAACTCGACAAGTGGAATTACATTAACATAAAAAATTTCTGCACAGTAAAAGGCATAGTTACTGAACTAGAAAGATAGCCAGTAGACTGGGAGAAGAGCTTTGCCAGCAATATATCAGAAAAAGGCCTATGATTAAAAATATATAAGGAGTTCAAGAAACTAATGCCTCCCAAAGCTAATAAGCTTTAGGCAAAGGAACGAAGGAGAAACTTCTCAGAAGAGGCAAGAATAATAAAGAAACACATAAGGAAATGCTCATCATCCATGTACATAAAGGAAATGCAAATCAAAACAACTCATAATTTATCTCACCCCAGTGAGACTAGCCAACATTGTGAATTTGAACAACAAATATCGCAGGAATGTGAGCATTCCTTGAATGCTCTGTTGGTGGGAATGTATACTAGTACAATCACTCTGGACAACTGTTTGGAGGTTCCTCAAAAAAAAACATGTATATATACATATGTACACATACATATATATGTATGTATACATATATATGGATATATATACATATATGTATATATGTGTATATGTGTGTGTGTGTGTGTGTGTATATATATATATATATATATATATCTTCCTTACCTCCTAGCCATACCACACCAGGGCATCTACCCAGAATATCACAAGTCAGGCTACCATAATGAAACTTTCACATCTATGTTCATATGGAAACAGCCCACATGCCCTAAAATAGGTGAGTTAATCCAAAAGATGTGGTACCTATATACAAAGGAATTTTACGCAGCCATTAGAAACAATAATATTATGTCATTTGCAGAGAAATGGATGGACCTAGAACAAATTATGTTAAGTGATGTAAGCCAAGCTCAGAGAGACAAATGGCACATGTGTTCTACATGCATATGTAAGCTACCTCTAAAATACACTGGGACATGATGAATTATACAGGACTTTAGACATTCAGACACAGTGAGACCAAAGGAGGATATTCTTATGGAAGGAACACAAAGATGCAAAGGCTATCTGCCTCTGGTCATATAAAATAATAGTTATCACAATGAACTCCAAGAAGTGGAAATTAGTTTCTTTCTTCGTTTTTGTTTCCTTTCTTTTCTCTTATTTGTTCATTTATCTCATTTGCCGAGGATAAAGTAGACATACAAATGGAGGGACAAAGGGTGAACAAATGCAACAATGCTACTCAATAGACACTATGTTGGAAATTAACTATACAACTTGTGGGTGGGACAGGAGCTAAAAAATGGGAGATATCAAGGGAATGATGTCATTGTCCAAACAGAAATGTACTCTTTACCTAAATTATGTAACTAAAGGATAACTAAAACTTTTCTATATATCACCTTTATAACAACTATAAATTCTTTTTTGGGGGGCAGGGGACTGGTCCTGGGGCCTGAACTCTGGGCCTGGGTGCTGTCCCTCAGTTCTTCAGCTCAAGACTAGAGCTCTACCACTTGAGCCACAGTGCCATTTCCAGCTTTTTTTTTTAATGCTTATGTGGTCCTGAGGAATTGAACCCAGGGCCTCATGTATGCAAGGCAAGCACTCTACCACTGAGCCACCTTCCCAGCCTAATAACTATAAATTCCTTTTTAAAAAGAATACATCATTAAGAAATTAAGACTCAATTTTTGGTTTGGTATTTGTATGCCATATTGCTACAATTTTAAGTATCTAGTTCTTAGAAAATATGCAGTTTGTGTAAAGTGATTAATATTTAAATAGTGTCAAGTAGTAGTAAATAATTAGACATTATTTAATAATCCCTTCCATTATTTTTCATCAACCAAAATTTCAGCAAAGTTAATAGTATGTGCCTAACTATCATATTTTATGTGCTTCAGAAATACGTAACAATTTTTTTATTTCATATTAATATATTATTTTATTAATGTTATATATATTTAAAATATACTAAGGTAAGAGAAGCTTAGAAAAATTAAGTGGTAGACTAGAAAATCTTATAGAGAATATATGAACGCAGCAGTAGCCAACTCCAAATCCAACACTTTTGATCATCCCAGTTCTAAAACATTTCCAAATTCTCTTCCCATTGAGACAAATATTTAAATTGGTGTCTTATTCAAGTCCTTGAATGATTTTTATGTACTAAAACTTACTTTACACAAGTACAACTTTGATGCCAATTGAACCCAATTAAGTTCTCAATTGACACAGACTCTATAATTCTGTTTTTCCCAGGGTGCTGCCACAAATGTGGGAATCTTCACCTCCAGTAGCACAGTGAACCATACTTCAAGCTTGAAGTTCTGGATTACCGATTTACATACACCTAATAAGGTTCTTATTCCTAGGAAAGTTTACCATTCAGTAAAAAGTCTCCTTTTTTCTAAAGAAAAACCTGACTAGGACAAAAGATTAGATTCCAAGTAGTTCTTATTTTAAATCCTATTTTAGTACCTTAAATATTTTCCTCAATATATCATAAATTTAATTTAAATAAGAACAGAAGAAAACCAAGTGAAAAAGAAGAGACAAAAGAGAGATTTTTTTAAAAGTCAAGAAAAACATTAAATTGAGTGTCCACGGCTCACATACAAAATCCTAGTCACTCAGGAGGCTGAGATAGGAAGGGTCACAAACACTAGACAAGAAAGGGGAAAAAATCAGATATTCCATGTACATAATAATCAGCAAAACACATGACTGGTAGCATGCCCATGGCTCAAGGGTTAAAGGACCAGCACAACAAACAATCTAAGCAAGCAAGTTGACCAAGCATGATGCTCTGAAGAAAAATCCTGGGACTGGCAAAAACAAAACAAAACAAAAAAAATAAAAAACCTTCTTTAGAAAACAAATGAAACTTTTAGAGCCTTCTGTCTAGGAAGGGCAAAAATGAGAATCTATACATACGAAAGCCTGGGCTTTGAAGACAAGTTTGTACAGTAAGGGAGGAAGAATGGAGTAAGAGAAAATTAAGTGTTACATTATTTCTGTTTTGCTTTGCTTACTAAACCAGAGCACCACATTGCTTCACAATTAAAATATCTAAATAAAATCAGTATAATCAATACAAAAATAATAAGCTGCAATCACAATTATACAAATCATGTTTTAGGCAATGCAAAAAGGATTTTGTGCATGGTATTTCATTAAATCTATAAAACAGTCATAAAACACTGGCTGTATTATAATGCCATTTTATATTTGGAGAGACAGAGCTTTGTAAAAGGTTATTTACCCCAGGACTTTCAGCTAGCAAATGACAAATTAGACTCTGAACCCAGGCAATCTGATTCTTAGAGGGCGTATTTATCCTTTACATTCAGTAATCATAATTTCAATTTTCCTGTTCCTACTAAGACACTAAATATGTTTCTGGACAATTTAAAGCACTGTGATACGAATATAGTACCTGGGATCTTAATAAGAAAAGCTCTGAGGAATACAGTGGTAAATCAATATCAAGCTAGTTACCCATTAGGTGGCAGGAACCTCTGCCTAATGCTATAAGATCATACTCTTAGAAAATATGAACTGAGTACAATTTGCAAATCAATTTTAAGATGGAAAAACTCGAGAAAGATTTTTCTGAGCATGGAGATGTTTTCCTGTGATCATGAGTCCATAAAAAACAGAGCAGTGATAGAAATATAACCACGGCTTTCACCAATGGATATGTATATTCCCAAATGCTGCATAAACAACTGATGTGGAGTAGAAGGCTGGAGTAATAAATAGCTACACAGGAACCCCCCACACCACACTATTTGGCCTCACTATTCCTAAGACAGCATCATATCCTTCCTGAGATAAAGTTTAAAAATTCATACACATACCTACACATGTCAGTGATTGAGTCCAAAAGAAGTTAATACAATTAACAGCTTCTTTGAGGAATTCCATACATAAGACTTCTATTTTTTATTTACTCAGAGTAATATAATGTGAGGCATAAGGGAAATGACAAAAATCTTTTAATACCTTTATTCCAAAAATAAACAAAATACTTACATTATTAATAGAAGAGCATACTGGTTTCGGTCCATAAAATCTTTGGGAAAGGACAACTGTAAAGGAAGTTCTTTTAAAGAAAGAGCAAAATATTAAAGATGGACAGTCATTTATATGAAAAACTGTAAGATGCAGAGAAAGTTGATTTGAGTAACATAATGTGTCAAAACTTTACCATAGTCGTCAATATGAAGGATTTTAATTTCAGGTTTTGTTGTCTTCTTCTTCTGAATAGCTTCCCTTAGCATGGAATTATTTTCCAATATAAAATATTCTGTGAATAAAAAAGTTATCATAAAGCCAATGCATTAATCAGGAGTTAGTGTTTATAACACAAAATATTTTGCAGCTGCTATCTTTTAGCTGGCATTGTGCTAAACACAACTCTCACAATTTGTCTTCTAAATTATAACGACAATTCTCCAAGTGGACTTGCTTATTTTCTTGATTTGCTTTCTGAATTTGCTCTGATATATAGCAATGACCATCAACATTTTCAAAAAGAAACTGATTCCATGACTACTTTGTTTCAGAAAATTTGATAAAAATGTAAAATTATCTAGCACAAAATAAGATAAAATTTGAAGTCTCTAAAAATCAATAAAATGCTTAGATATTCCAGGCATCCATGGTTCATGCCTATAATCCTAGCAACTCAGAAGGCTAAGATATGAGGATTGTGGTTGAAGCCAGCCAGGTCAAAAAATTCCATGAGACTCTTATCTACAATGAATCACCTAAAAAAGGCCAAAAGTAGAGCTGTGGCTCAAATGGTAGAATGTTAGCCTTGAGCAAAAAAGCTTAGAGAAATCACCTGGCCCTGAAATCAAGTCCTAGGACTGGCACAAACACAAAACAAATCATAACAACAACAAAAACATCTCAAAATGAGGAAAAACTGTTAACCAACAAATGACACTGATGATAACATTCCTAGATAAAAAGCATTAAAAGAGACTGCAACCAAGCTTCACTTATTAAGGTGGAGAAAGAATGACTATGTTACATATGTCAAAAAAATACTATGGAATGTAATAATATGGAAATTGAACAACCTAAGAGGAAACATATAGTTGCTAGGATTAAAAGATTATTAGACTCCAGAGAAAAGTTTAATGGAATTGACAATATAGTAATTAAAAATGTAAAATGAAAAAAAAACATGAAAGGAGCATTAGTAAATTTCTGGCATTTTGATTTATATAGCATTATATTTATAGATCTACTTGGCAAGAATTTATATTCTAAAAACAGGAAATTTTAATCAAATCTATTTGAATATATATGTGTGAGAGAGAGACAGAAAGTCAGAGAGAGAGAGAGAGAAAGACAGAGTGGAAGCTGAGAATGTGGGACAGAGAAAGATACCCAATGTATTTGAATATTTAATTTTTTCCAAGATAAGACTTTTATCTTTCATTTTAGGGGACTTAGATATTTCAATGAGATGTATTCTGAGATAGTATATTTCTTCACTGTCATTTTTAAAAGGATGTTAAATTTCTTTCAACTTAGGACATATTTAATAAAACATCTGAAATTTTTATATTGAGCACTATCTATAGCCTCGATCAATTAATTCCTTTATCTGTAAAAGCTAGCTTTGTTCATGGGTATTTCATGGTCTTTTGTTTGCTTGTTTTCTTTTAATATTTTGTATTCAAGTTGGTTGTCTGTGAACAGAGCCTGTTTCTCCTTATAATATCTTCCTTGCCTGGTGTCCAGGAGAAGCTGTGTATAACAGTGCTGTGTACACCACACACGCTTGACCTTCCCAGTTCTGAAAGATCAGTCTTTCTTTCATCATATGGGCTATTGTACATTTTGCAGATAAGAAATCAAGTTTTATAATTTCCTTTCTGTCTTTATATTGCAAGGTAATTATTACTAGAGTGGTATTGTATTTGTCCAATGTATCAAATATATTTTTTCTAAATCCTCTGAGATGTCTGTATTGTATGGTAAAACATAATGACTAAAGGTGGACAGTAGGTTGCTCAGGTCATAAAGTATTATCATATTTACAAATTACTAGGTCTGATTTACTAGTATTTAGTGAAGGAATTTAGCATCTACACTTTTGAGCAATTTGATCTTGCTTTGTCCTTGTGTTTCATTCAGAAAATGGATAATTCAGCTCTTCTATTTTCTGAAAAATAAAGTCTGTTCAAGCTTTGTGCTAATTTAGTAAACAATGGTGAAAGGAAACACAGTTGCATTTGTGAGAAGAAGGTTAGTTATGAATTACAAATATTTTATAGATAATAGAATATTTATGTATCACTTCAGTTTTGTTTCACTTTTTAAATCAGTGTTTTAAAATATTTTTTCTACTGTATCTTTTGAATTGCTTCCCTTCTGTTAAGACATATATTGTCATTTTGGTCACTACATATGCAGTATGTAGATGCAACATATTTTATTATTGGTGATTTGCAAATTTTTCTTTTTTTTTCTTTTTTTTGCCAGTCGTGGGCCTGAACTCTGGGTCTGGGCGCTCTCCCTCAGCTCTTTAGCTCAAGGCTAGTGCTCTACCACTTGAGCCACAGCATTACTTCCAGCTTTTTCTACTTGTGGTACTGAGGAATTGAACCCAGGGCCTCTTGAATGCAAGGCAAGCACTCTACCACTGAGCCACCTTCCCAGCCTGCAAATTTTTCTTGATCTCTGTTTTATGTATGGTATTTGAATTTTGTTGAGATTTATTCTGCTTTAATTGCTTGTATATTTTTAAATTCTTTATCAGATTTTGAAAATAGTTATTCTTTCATTACATATTTTACAAGCCCATGCACTTCCTGACTCTGATCAAAAATATCCTGGATGTAGTGTTTGGCCAATCATTAACCAAGATACTCTTCATTTCTTTCACTCTCTCTTTGTGTCTGGAAAATGCCTACCCATAATGTTTCAAAATCACCATTTTTTTTCCTTTTCTTTTTTATTATCTACTCTATTTTTGTGCATTTTCCATTAATTAAAATAATCTGACAACATTATTTTAATAAAGGGACCACATTGATGTAGGGTAGGAGGAGCACTGAGACGTGGAATGACATAAGGCCTGTCAGAGTGGCCAGGACTGAAGGACAAGTAGAGACTATTAGACTCCTCATACATACACACATGGAAGTGGTTGTGGGAGAGGTCAACACTGACAAAATCCTGATTTTCTGCTAAGTGGTGGCAGACAACCTGTGGGAAGATAATCACAAAGCATCTTCCTTCCTCTCCATTGTCAACAAGATTGGCTTCAGATGAATCCACTTTGCAACCCCAAGGTAACCAACACAAGTCATCTCCACAAATGGTTTCAAAGTCAGAAGATGAGGAAGAGAAGGACTAAAAAGTTCAAAGTGATTCTGGAAGGACAGTAGTTGAGGGAGCTGAGTAATATGCCATTAAACTTTAGTTACAATATCCAATCCTATGTTATTTATAATATCTGTTGCTATGACCAATAGATTTGTTTCAAAATTTTAATTAGACTTTTCCCCAATATTAAGTAGGAAAAGAAAAAAAAGATGTAAATGATGGAAGTCTTGAGACTGAGTTATTATTTTTCCATAATGTGTTTGAATTTATACTTTTACATCAAATTATAAGGGCCTCTGTATCATCATCATCATCATCATCATCATCATGGTAAAATTTGTATACTACTAGTTTATTAATAAAATTTATGTGATTATCATTTACCCTGCTTTCTCTGATAACTACTAAGCTACAAAGTTTTCCAAATTTGTTAAATATTTCATTTTTTCCCACTATTCTCCTGTCTTTTCTAATTCCTGTGGTTCCCAAATGAGTTATGACTGACTCCCTGGTGCACTTACTTTCATTAACCCAAGATGTCATTGTGTGGTAAATTTTATCTCCATGAGTAATTGTCCTCAAAAAGCTAAGAAAGTGCCTTATCCTGGGTAACCATCCACTTTTTAATTGTTCTTGATCACTAGACAATCAGAGTTGGCTTCTGAAAGGAATGATCAGAAGCTCTCCTTCAGGAAGACATGTTTCATAAATTTCAGCAATGTTATGAAAAGTACTGTCTTGTAACAGTAAGATATATTTATATTAAAATCTTATCAAGTATTTCCTTTTAATTACCCATTGTTAAAGGCATAATATGCATTGTGATGCAAATAACTGTCATCCATTAAGAGCATCCTATGACAAATGTATCTCATTATAATGCAAGCATTCTGGTTTACATGACTACCAGGAAACTGAACTTAGTAATTCACTATCGTAGCTCTCACGGGAAGTAAGGGGTAGACCCATTTTACACAATGATTTTTCTGTCTACAAATTTTACCTATTTTATTAATCATAGTGTCATTTTTATCATTATTTTTTACTATTCATATTGAATGGATTTAATTTGTTTAATATAGTCTTTTAAAGACATATATAAAATACAGGGATAAAGGAACAAATAGTAACTAAACTATGTTGAAAGTAATACAGCCTTCAAAAGGAAAGAGTATGCAATTGGAACGTGTTTTGGTCTAGTACAGCTGGTAATTCAACATATGATATTCTTTGACAGGTATGAATTGTCTCTTTTTCCAAAATGACTCAGCATTCAAATTTTTAATTTTATATCTGTATATCTCTAATTCAATGCTTCTAAGATGCATACTTTGCAAGTGTGATAGTTTGTAATTACTGCAATATGATGATAGTAAATTTACCATTATATTGCAGAATTACAAAATATTCTAGAGTCAAGCTGCCTAATTTGATTCTTGGCTTTGCCATTTCTCTTTAAATGACTCGTTAGTTTATTTAGTCTCTCTATGACTCATTCCTCATTTATAAGCAAAAGATAATATAATTTAACAATTTGGTAAGGTTTTCAGGATTAAATAATTAATTAGTATAAACCTCAGATTATAGTAGATTGCCAAATCATTAGAACATAAAATTGATTAAATAAATCTAAATAAGTAAAAGAAGGAAATAAAAGAAACAAGTGAGAAAATGTCAGAAATCCATCCTGATATATATTTCTAATATTAGGTCATGTTTATATTTAATGTGTGTGTGTGTGTATGTGTGTGTGTATGTGTGTGTGTATGTGTGTGTGTGCATGGTGCTGTTCTTAGGGCTTGAACTTGGGGCCTGGGCACTGTCTCTGAGCTTTATTGTTGTTGTTCACCTGGAGGCTGGTGCTCTACTGCTTGACTACAGCTCCTCTTTTAGCTTTCTAGTGGTTAATTGGAGATGAGTCTCATGGACTTTCCTAGCCAAGGTGGCTTCAAACAGTAAATCTCAAATCTCAGCCTTCTGAGATTCTCAGCATTTTCAGCACAAACCATGGCAGTCCAGCTTCATTTATATATTTATTATCTATTCTATGTATGTTGTTAAACACATCATTATCTTATCCTTGCCCTGGCTTCTGTCACATTGCTTGACAATGCAGTTACTCACTGAAATAAAGAAAAAATGGGTAAAAATATAAGTGAATTGAAGTGAATGTATAAAGCTAGAAGATATAAATATCTGTAATACATGGAATCCAAGTTAGTTAAAATAATAATCTATTTTCACATGTCCTAAAAAGTAACTGTTCTTGAAATACAACCTTTTGGAGGCCCAGGAAAGAATGACCAACAGTACTAATGTGTAAAAAGCTGCATTGTACTTGCTGCAGCAATTACTCATTAATTGGACTTAAGTGGCACAGATATCCTAAATAGATCAACCCTAATCTATAACATAGCTGGAATCACTTGCTTTATTGTTTCCCTTACAAATATAAGGTCACATTTATTGTGTGATCCAGTGTGCCTCCTGTTTGTTTTTTGAGGTAGCGTCCATAAAGTGTGACATAAAAAATAAATAATATAAAACCTACACGCAATACCAAATATAACTAAGTGGTCTTCTTATGTACTCACTTGCTACATTTTCCGTGCTATGGAGACTGACCACTGGGACCCTTGGACCTAGAGTTAAAAAATAAACATTTTTAGATACCTAAGTAATAGTTACTGGAGAGGTTACATGGCAGATTTATTTATTTTTTCCAAATGGGAGTGGTAAGGTAAATGACAAACACATTAGATAGATTCCATCCTTTTTATGAGTACTTCCTTCAGAGAATTAATAATACATGGGGAAGGAAATTATTTTCAGAAACTTCACTAACATCTCTCTCACCTCAGTGTTCTTTCTGTCTTTACTTTTATGACTTTAGCCAATCCTATGTGTTGTATTCCTCTATCTCTAGTCTTTAAGAATTAGTAAGTGCTGTTTAGAAAGCTGATTCATGACTCATTCCTCATCTGCTCATCCAAGATAAAACTCTGTTTACCACTCCCACGAAAGAAAGAATGCAATGCATAGATTAAATATATTCACAAGATAAATGAAAAATATTTGTGGCTAATTATAAATTATAAAAAGATATGAATGGGAATTCTCAAATATTTACAGTAGGCTAATTTCTAATTATGTTTCTATGTTATCCTAAAACTTTACATCAAGAAACCCTATTTAATATCTAATGGTTAATTGCTAACCTGATTTAGTACTTTTCTTTTTATCACTTTACATATCAAGAAAACAATAGTATTATGCTTTCATATACAGTACTAAATCTTAAAAACAATAACTTAAGGTTTAAACTGAAGCTGTAGCCTTCAGTTGATCATGATATAAGAAACTCAGGAATTCCGTCTCATCTCTAAGAAATCCAATTCTATACTTTGGGGAAAAATTCATATGACATACTAGAGGGACTGTATGGCCATGTATGACACAGCATTGGAGTAGGAGTGGGGATGATGTAACTGCTCAGAACAGAAGACCACAGGAATAAATTCAATTTCTACAGATTCTAAACTGCTTAACATACAGCCATTTTCTGACAAAATGCTTGTTTTCTTTAAAAAATAGGAAATTAAATTATTATTGTGTAATGGCTTTGTCAATAGAAATATATGCATTTACTTTTATAATTTTATGAGATTAAAGTAAACTTATTGTATTTGCATGCATTCACCCACTCCCAATTTCTATTTCTTGATGAAATATATGGATATAATTTGTATCCCAGTCCATCTGTTATTTAGAAACTTTAAACTCTATCGATGAAAGTAAGATATTGATCAATAAAATAAATAAAACAAATGATATCACTAATTATACATTATCTTACCTTCACAGAATAATAAGAAATGTTGATTCATGGGACTAAAACTGGCGTCAAAATATGTACATTGTTCTTTCATAAAGTTACACGAAATACATTGGCGATTTAATAACCCTTCAGTAGAGGCACTAGGGAAAGAAAATGAACAGATAGAAACGGAACTCTTACAGGCACTTGAGGCATGCTGCTTCCACATTTGAATAGCATGCAACACAAGTAGAAGAGCTACAACAGAGTTCAAGTAGAGCTCCTTCTAAATTATGATTTGCTCTACACAAGCAGTTCATGTCATTATTCATGTTAAAACACACTTTTTTCTTCTCTGCAAAATCAAAATTATGTATACTTGAATGTATTTAATATGCATAGTATGTGGTTATAAATAAATTGATTTCCTTGTGATTCAATATAAGTCTCTGTTCCCCATGTTTTCTTTATAGTTACATTATGTGCACAGTCGTCAAAGAGAATTGCGTCTGATCAGCCTACAATGGATAAACACATGGACAAATGAAAATGAAACTCCACTGAACAATGAATTGATGTTAATAAACAAGTGGAAAAATAGAAAACCAATTTCTTTCAATGGAATTTCCCATGAGTACTAAGTAACTATAACTATTAGGTAAAAGAATAAGTATTTCTAAAAGTCACATGAAATCAAAGTCATGATATTCTAAATTCAGCAATCTAAATATTAGAATTTAGTGCGCTATATTTTGCTTAAAAATAATTGTCTTCAAATTTCCATAAGGAAAATACATTTTGTGTGATTATACAGTTAATGTTAATAATAATATATTTAAAAATATTAGGCGGGCAAAGAAAAGCAACCATCATCTTTATCTTACAGGAAAGATAATTAAGGTTAGAACATCGATAAATTCACTCAAGATTAATTTTTCTAAACTGAAGTGTTTATTTTTATGGATAAATTAGAATGCAATATTATGGTAGAAAACATTTTAAGGATATTTCTTTTTAAAACAATAACTAGACAAGATATTTATAATTGACTGAAGTGGAATAAAACCTGATAACAATGAGATGTACAAGTCGTTATGTTGAAAAATGAACTTTACAACTTTGACTGGGGGGAGAGTGGAAGTGGGGAAGATGGGAAGGGATTGGAAGGGGAAACACAAAGGAGGAGGCAACAATGCTTGATAAGAAATGGACTCATTATCTTTCCCATGTAAGTGTAACTCCTCTGTATGGTATCTTCACAATTTTTTAAAAAAGAAATCTCTCTAAAAAAACTGATTTGGGCATATATTTATGTATGAACAATATTTATGTTAACTACCATGTGCAGTCTACATAGTCATGACAGATACAGTGATGTTAAAATGGGTCCAAGAAGCACCAGATACCAATCAACAGGTATTATGTGAAGATCTTACAAAGTCATTTCACAACTGGAACACAACTGAACTGATTATCATCCACACTTTTCCATGTCTAGTGGAAGCACTTAACATTTTCATCTTTATTATGATGTATCAGATAAACATGCCCACTAATTTGGTTAGTAGTAGTAAATATAGCTAACATTAATGGACTATTTTAAGTTGAACAACTTAGTTTTGTTGATTGCAGTCACAATGTCATAGCACCATTTGCACAGTAAGCCTAAGAAATTGTCTTGGTCATCTAAAGCTATTCAATCAAAAAGATGTAAAACCTTTCTCTCTTCTTCCATAAAGCTTTCAAAAATCCAGTTCCCAAGAGATTTACTTTGGTATTTTGTCATTATTTAGATTACACCATTGCCAAGATGAGAAATGCACATTTTGAGACAGAAAAAAAATCACATTAAATATGGTAACAGTTTGATTCTCTAGGGAAGTCTTCTGCCATACATTAAGTTAACTAGTGATGATTTTTATAGCCTGAGGAAGACATTGATTGACTTTTCTGGGTTAAATACTAACATTATCTTCCAGTCAAGCAAAGTGACATTTGATGAGCTATTTAAGGGGAAATTTATGGGTGCTACATTTTTCTTTATAACACAGTCTTCTATACTTGTACAAGTCATAGATGTTTTGACTACTCTGCCTTAGTCAGGGGTCACAAAAGGCTAACTCACAAAGCTTCGGGGTTATTGTGATTCAAATAAAATTCCAAAGTAATAAGGGGAAAATATTACAACACTTCCTTTTGCTGATTTTGAACAAGTCTCGTTTTCTGACAAAAAGTCATATCTTCTATTTTTTTATGTGTAAGAGTTTTATAAGTTGCAAGAAATAAAATATTGATCAATTGTTTGTCCATTTCTATATATTATTGATGTCTACCAGCATGAATCACAAAAGATAAACTTCCAAAAAGATAAATGTCAGGTCATCATAAAGCTAAAGTGACCATTTCTTTGATGAACACCTCTGAGCTCAAATTTAAATTGCTATCTCTCAACAGCCAGCCTGTTTTCCTCTGGTCATTAAATTTGAGAACATGGGTTCCAACAAGACTGAGAGAAAAGACTAAGAATGTGATATAAGAAAATGACATATGGGAAAGATGATAAAGAAAGTTTGCTTCTGATTAAAGAAATCGATGCATGAATGAGTGTGTGGGTAAATTAGACAGAGATAAGATACTTTAAATATGCACTTTTATTCTCAAAGGTAATGGTGATGGTCTTCAAACATGAATAATTTCCACTGAGAATGTGACATAGCACTTTTAACACTTTAAAAATGGACCTGTGAAAAGACTTGGAAAAAATTATATTAAGTGAAGTAAGCCAAGCCCAAAGAAACATAGGTCCCATGGTTTCCCTTATTTGCAATATCTAGTATATGTATGAGTCAAGCAGAAAAGGTCAGATAAGGAGATGTTAGGAAAATGAACCCTAAGATATGTATTCAATTTTTTTTCTTTCATGCATTTGTTTCTAACTCATTTATAAGATTATTTCTTTGTTGCTTTGTATGTCCCTCCCCCACAGTATAACCCCTGCTTTCACTGTATTTGATGTGGGTATAATTTGTGGAGGGAAGGGGAAAAACAAGTCGTTTAAATAAGGATACAGGTGGACCCGTTGCAACAATGAGAAGTACAACTTGTCATCTCGAAAACGAACTTTACAACTTTGGTGGGGAGTGGGGAGGTTGGGTGGGGGGTTAAGGGGAGGCTGGGAACGATTGGGAAGGGGAAACAAAGGAGGAGGCTACAATGCTTGATAAGAAATGTACTCATTATTTTGCCCATTTAATTGTAACCCCTCTGTACAGTATTTTCACAATAAAAAATAAATAAAAAATAAAATAAAATATGACATGCGTCATTAAGGAAAAAAAATGGACATGTGAAAAGGAAACTAGAAAGTTTATGCATACAAAGCTGGACTTAATAGGTTGTTTCTAGCCAAGAAAAAGAAGTCATTATTGTGAGGTCTTGTGAAAGCTTTCTTGGTAAGCAAATTTAATGCTAAATAGCTATGCTCTTAATCCCTTCAAATGAATATAGCTTTGCATTTGGGAAAGCTGGGCAGATGGAAATATTAACACATTATTTTATTTTATATTATTGTATTCATTTTGTGATATTGGGTTTTAAACAGTTTTTGAACATGTTAGACAAAGAATCTACCACTTGAGCTACAACCCCAATTTGCTTTCCTTGTAGTTCGTTTTTCAGAAAGGGTCTCCCACTTTTCCTTGGGTTAGTTCAGAACACTATCTGCCTACCAGTGCTTCAGGAGTCGCTGGGATTACAACAGTGACCACCAGACCAGTCACATTACTTTATCTCAGCTAAGGGCCATTCTTGACTAAAACAATACTGTTTGGCTGACTTCATATTGAAAGTGACATCAGACTTTTCCATGTTTTCATTGTTTTGTGTGGATCAGGACTGAGAAGCCATTCTATGTCCAGTTGTAGTTACAATCCACCTACCTGTACAGCTGCCTTCCTCTGGGAGAAAATTCGGTGCTCAGAAAGTAGCTGTCCAGGGAAGAAAACAACCCAGGCATTAGAAAAAGATCTATTCTTGTCACAGTAAGATTTGACTAGTATTTTCTTAACCATCAGAAAACTGACAAGGCTTATTCGCTTATTCAAATCACAAGAATTGATCCAGCTGGAAATTGTCTTTTTTTTCTTTTTAAACTAATCAAAATTTTTCTTTCAATTTCTGAACGTGTATATGCCAGTGTGAAATGTACCTGAGTGAAGAATAGACAAGGTTTTTAAATAAAAGGCTATGGTTTACATGGCTGCCTTGTTTATACTAGAGGCAGAGTGAGTGAACTAGCAGAAAGGATTACATTTTTCAGCAGCGACTACCAGTCTGACTAGAACCAAAACACTCACAGTTTTTGAGTAGTTTCATCATACGCCAAGATCTTTATCACTTCCCAGTTTCCGGATGTTAAATGCCGCACAGTGATTTGCTCACTTTTACTCTGGAAAGAAATAGAAAATATTGATTTTCTTTTAATTTAAACAGCATCTCCCTGGTAAACACAAAAAATATGGAGAGCCTGTGCCATAGTCAATTCTTTAATTCTCAGCTCACATTCCATTTCCTGTCCTAAATCTCAAGAATGTACACATTACTTGAGATGGAGCAGTGCCTTTACTACAGTGTGATGTGATAGAAAAACCATTCAGAAATCTCCAAGTTGAGCACATTATTCATTATTCTGGGAGTATTTAGTACTAACAAGAGATTTACATGGCTCCCACATACATGATGTTTGTACAACCTTATGAAGAACATCTCAGAACACAGATTGCTGCAAACAAATAAGGAATGCAATTATCTTCTTAAATGTTTCCATGTATGCTTTAAGATTTGATGCTTTTCTGCAATAATTATTTTAGAGATGAATCTGTCTTGCTGAATCTTGGTGTTTATGGCCACAGTTCATATTCATTACTGTTACGGTATGTGATTGAAAAATGCCGGAAAATGGACATGAGTTGTTTCCAAATGTATGCTCTTTTCTAAAATTAATAACATATTTTCAATGTCTTTATCTGGACTTCAACTCTATTTTTTCAATTTTACTAGTACATAGGATGTCATATGATGTTTTAAAATACATATACATTGCATAATATTGGAATAGGGTAATCTAGTTTATCTCAAACACTTATAATTTATATACATTTTTGTAAACATAGCATTTTTACATATCTGATACACTGTGATTCATTGTTTATTTCACTAATAATTTATTTTGTTTGTTTTCTCACTAAGTTTCCATTACAGTGATGTTTTGCTTTTTACTCATTTTTTGTTCAAAGAACTATATTTTTTTCTATTAACTACCATAGCATAGTTTTCAGTTCATAATCAATTTGATTTCTGCTCCAAGCATCTGTATATACATCTTTCTGTCTACATTGGTTTTTATTAATAGTTTTTTAGGTATTCAATTTTATAATTTAATTTTGCTGTTCTATTTTCATTTTGTAACTACTATGGCACTGTATTATAGTCTCATCACAGATTCTCAGATAAGGTGTTACCACCATTCATTTCTTTATTAATATTTTATAAACTTTGGAATTTTGGGTTTGAAGTTTCCCCAAAATTGTGCAGTACAAATAGCTTTGAAGCTTTCTTTTAAGAAAACCTATTAACTATTTATTCTTAATTTTTAGGTTATTGCATTTATGATCCTAGAATTGTTTTTTAATAAGATTTTTATTATGGAAATACTGTACAGAGGGGTTACAGTTACATGAGCAAGGTAATGAGTACATTGCTACTGAATATTTAGTGTCATTGAAATCTGTTGTAAAATTATTGTGTATCTCAAGCTTTACTAAATTTTAGGGTTCATTTGGCTCACTTTAATGGAGAATACATAGTTTCTATGTGTTTCAGTGTTATCTGTTACTATCTTGTCTTTTTTGTGTTTTATGGTTCTTAGTAATATAAGTATTTTTCTTTTAATATGTGCTCATGTTTTGGTTCTGAATATTATGATATTAGGGTATTTTCCTATCTTAATTATTTTGTTTAACATTTATATTGGATTATTTGTAATAAAAAAGCTACTAAAACAGTTTTTCTGGTTTTGATGTGACTCTATCAAAAGTTCTTTTATGGTTTTATGTATCTATTTTGAATAAGATGTGTAGTAGATTTTCTCCTATTAAGTGTGCTTTCCTTCTAAACCTAGATTTTAAGTTTTCTAATACGTATAATCCTAGTGCTATATTTCTGCCTTAGCTTTACTATATATACATGTATATGGATATACAGATACATAAACATGCATATACATATATGTACATCTGTACACACATGTATACATTTATACATATATGAATGCAGACATACATATATGTTCACATATATAATATATATAGAAAAAAGTAAATATTATATATTTGTTTCTTCTGGTCCTGGGTTGAACTCAGAGCTTACGGGCTTTCCCTGAGCCTCTTTGTGCTCAATGTTAGCATTCTACCACTTTAGCCACAGCACCACTTCTGGCTTTTTTCTGAGTAATTTATTGAAGACAAGAGTCTCACCCAACTTTCCTGCCCATGGTGACTTCAAACTGGGATTCTCAGATCTGAGCCCCTGAGCTACAGGTGTCCAGTTTATTTTTACATTAATAACAGTGCTCTTATCTCTCCAAAGGCCTATATTAGATTTTAAATCTTTTTTGTTATTTATTGTTCATGCATTATAATTTTAAATATTGTTTGTCTCACATTTTTAATCTTAAGAATTCTTCTAAGTCATCAGTTTTTAATCTTTTATCATTACCAATTATAGTTTCTTATTTTAATGAATTTTTAATTATCTTTATGAGTTACACAAAGGATTTCAATTAAACATGGCCATTTCTGAATATGATGCAACTTTTTGATATTTTTATTATCTTTAAGTAAATACACAAGAGGATATCAATACAGCATGTCAGTTATTTATAAGTACAAAGTAGCTTTCTTTTTTTTTTTTTTTTTGTCAGTAATGGGTCCTGAACTCTGGGCCTGGGCCCTGTCCCGCAACTCTTCAGCTCAAGGCTAGCGCTCTACAACTTGAGCCACAGAGCCACTTCCGGCTTTTTCTTTTTGCTTATGTGGTGCTGAGCAATCAAACCCAGGGCCTCATGCATGCAAGGCAAGCACTCTACCACTGAGCCACCTTCCCAGCCCAATACAAAGTATCTTGATCAATGTCACTCCTTCCTCCACTCTGTCTTCCAAGCCCTGCCATCCCATCATTTACCTGGTTACATTTCCACATATGTAAATTGCCTTTGTATTCCTTTATTTCCTTCTAATTCTATTCTACTTTAATCTCTCTCCTTGTTACTTATTATCATATCTTCAGGAATCTCCATTTTCCTTTGTCTACTTTCAATTAATTTGTTATAATTTTGTGTTATTTTCAATTTTTATTGAAATCTGTCACTTTTTAATTTGTAACTTCTTTTTATTTTATGAGGAAGCTATTCCTAAAAGTGTTTAAATTTGTGGGGCACCTGTGACTTATACCTATTCAGGAGACTGAGATCTGAGGATCAAGGTTCAAAGCCAGCCTGGGCAAGAAAGTCTGTGAGACTTTTATCCCCAATTAACCACCAGGAAACTAGAAATGGTGCTGTGGCTCAAGTTGTAGAAGGCTAGCCTTGAGCTGAAGAGCTCAGGGACAGTGCCCAGGTTGAGAGTTCAAGCCCTACAACCAACAACAACAACAAAAAGTGTTTAAATTTCTCACTTGATGTATAAATCTATATCTACAAGTGCTCATTTAATAATACTTGATTCGCCGGGCACTGTGGCTCACGCCTGTAATCCTAGCTACTCAGGAGGCTGAGATCTGAGGTTCATGGTTCAAAGCCAGCCCCTGCAGGAAAGTCCATGAGACTCTTATCTCCAATAAACCACTAGAAAACCAGAAGTGGCACTGTGGCTCAAGTGGTAGAGCGCTCGCCTTGAGCTGAAGAACTGAGGGACAGTGCCCAGGCCCAGAATTCAAGCCCCATGACTGACAAAAAATAAAATAAATAAAAATAAAATAAAAATACTTGATTCATGCACTTGTCTACTTCTTAGTTGTTTGTGTGGGAGTATTATGATCTATTGAAAAAAGACTCTTACTTTCAGCGCTCCTAGCATAGTAACTTTCCTATATATGGTTGGTCATATTTTGTTATTTGGAAATATATAGAATTTTTCAGAATGGGCATTTGTTTTGTTCAAGAAGGAGTAAGTAGTCTACTAGTTTTTCTCTTGCTAAAGCTCTAAGGAGCATCAGAAGGGGGCACCATTAGGAATGGAAAGTGTCTTCAGGTAATCAATGAGTAGCTTTCTCTGTAAAGTTCTGTAACATTTTTGAATAAGTTTTTTATTGTGAAAATACTGTACAGAGGGATTACAATTACACGAGCAAGGTAATGAGTAAATTTTTTTATTAATTTATTTATTTATGTCAGTCGTGGTCTCGAACTCTGGGCCTGAGTGCTGTCCCTCAGCTCTTCAGCTCAAGGAGAGCGCTCTACCACTTGAGCTACAGTGCCACATCCGGTTTTCTAGTGGTTTATTGGAGATAAGACTTTCATGGACTTTCCTGCCCTGGCTGGCTTTGAACCACAATCCTCAGATCTCAGCCTCCTGAGTAGCTAGGATTACAGGCGTGAGCCACTGTCGCTCAGCTATGAGTACATTTCTTATCCAGCATTGTTGCCTCCTCCTTTGTTTTTCCCCTACCATTCTGTCCCTCCCACCTTCCCAACTACACCTCCTACCTCCCCCCCCACCTCGCCTAAATTGTAAAGTTCCTTTTTCAAGATAGCGTCTTGTACATCTCATTGTTTCAATGAGTCAATCTGTATCCCAATTTAAACCTTTTGTTTTTTCCCTTCCCCTCCCCAAATTATACGCACATTAAATACAGTGAAAACAGGAGCTATACCATGGGGGAGGGACACACAAAGCAACAAAAAAATCACATGGTACCTTATAAATACGTTAAAAACAATAGCAAGGAAGAAAAAACCACTTGTGTCCCTATCTTGGGGTTCATTTTGCTTTACATCATTTTATCTGAGCTTTTTTGCTTGTCCCAGACATATACTAGTTATTGCAAATAAGGGAAACCATGGAAGCTATGTTTCTTTGGGCCTGGCTTACTTCACTTAATGTAATTTTCTCCAAGTCTTTCCATTTCCTAACAAATGGGGGCAATGTCATTTTTCCTGAGGGAGGCATAGAATTCCATTGTGTATATATACCACATTTTCTTGATCCATTCATCTACTGAGGGGCATCTGGGTTGGTTTCATACCTTAGCTATGGTAAATAATGCTGCAATCAACATAGTTGTGCTGGTAGCTTTAGTATTGTCTTGTTTGTGATCATTCAGGTAAATGCCCAAAAGTGGGATTGTTGGGTCATAGGAGAGCTCTATGTGGAGTCTTTTGAGGAACCTCCA